TGAGAGGTAACAGTGCTGGGAATCTGAAGTAAAACGAGGGCAAGTCTTCAGCAGAAAGAAACTGTAGTGAGGAGTCTGAACTTAACACCTCCCAAGGACAAGGCACTGGAAATATAAGTAACACGGAGAAAGATATATAAATGTTGATCACAGCGGAATAATAGGAACAGCCTTTTTTCTTGTTGAATGCTTTTTCACTTGCTTTGACTACTTATATGTGACACTGCAGGGTGGGGTGAGAAGGTGGAATTTGGTCTATAGCCTGTTCAGTGCTGACATGGAAATGTGACTTTAGGCACTTACTGCTTTTCTACGCTGGTATTGTTTTTCAGGTGCCTAGTTACCTGGGCCCAGGTCACTGCTTGTAGACTGAGGCAGCACGAAGCCCTCTCTTGTTTTAAAAGGGTCAGAGAGCACCATCTCCTAGTTGTGAGCTTTACTGAGTGGAGGGTGAAATTCTTGAGAGCTGAACAGCGGGTGCTGGGAGAGAGAAACCACAAGTGGCAGGGAACCTCTCAGGGTAAAGCCTGTCACCGCTGGCGGTTGGCCTCAAGAGGACAGCAAGCCCTGCGCCTAGGATCTGTGGCTGCCGTAAAACAGGTAAGAAAAGATGAATGTCCCTATGAGACAGTTATTCTTAACTGCCTGTTTTCTTGTGAAGACCTCAGTTGGGTCACTAGGCACTGAGATACAGTGACAAGGCTGGTATAAAAACCTGGTTTGACTTGTGACTGCTTAGTCCCTGCCTTTAAGTTCTTTACAGGCTGTGCACACTTCATCACTGTAATCTGGCACTGATTGCAGCAACCATCTGGAGCACAGCAATAAGGAATGGGGACATTTTGACCAGAGAGATGAGCACTCCTTCCTCTCTGCTCAAAGATGAGATGGGATAATCACTGTCCCCACAGAGCAGAGCGAGCTGTCAGAGTTGCAGCTTTTTTCAAAAGACTCACAGCTAGCAAACCACAAAGAGGTCGATTGATTTGGAAGGGCTGAGTCAGTCCTGCTGGGATCTCATCTGTGCAGTTTCCAGCCTGGGGTCTAGCACATTAAACTACCTGCAGGGGTATGAACATAAATGTATCTCTAAGGCTAGCTTGTGTGTGTGCTGTCTGTGCGCATTGTGTTTAGTCTTGGCTGCAGCTGTGTTATTTCTGTTTGCAGGCCTGCAACTACTGGACAAAAGCAGCTGCCTTTTCCCAGTGCTCACGGCAGTGCAGTACCCTGATAGGTGCTAGGAAGAGCAGGAAGATGTCTCTGTCTTGGTCCATGAGTAAGAAGATGCCCCCTCCTCTCTTCCTTTCATGGGGCCATGTGGGGAGTGTGCGTGAGGAGGGAAGGGGAGTGGTGTTTGCCAGCCAGATGACTGGGATTCCTCTGTGGAGTAGCTGATCACGGCAGTTGAACTCTGACTGTGGGTTGCTTCTGTGTTCAGGAGCCAAAGGCCTAAGGGCTCATGGCAGCTCTGATCTCTCCCTCTCTAGCTCCGAGGTTAGCTCCTGTGTGATTCCTCTTTTCTTTCCTAGAAAGCAGAAGAGGCAGAGTAAAGGCTTCAGCACCAGCTGCCCCTCTTGGGCTTTTTCCCAGTGCCATTCGCCACTGGCTAGTGATCTACAGAAGTCAAAACAGGGCTGAAAGGCTGCTGGTCCCTCATCTGGTAGAGAGACCTGGTGTGGTAGGACCCTCTCCTGCACACGCAAGGATCCAGGAGAACAAAGCAGAGGTGGACTTGGAAGGGTGGGATGAGAAGTGGCTTGGGTAAGTGGAGTGGAGGGCTCTGGGCTTCCTCTTGTTGCTGCCATCAGGGAAGGACTCCCTTGTAGGGCTGTTGGGCTGATAAAGTTTATTTTCCCCTCTTGCCTATAGGAGGAAGTATGTGAAGTGGTGGCATCACACGGTGATAATTCGCCGGTGCCAGCGTGACAGGAGACTGCGCTGTCTGGCAAGGGGGTGGCATCAGTGGAAGGAAGCCAGCAGGGTGGTGATGCTGGCTCAGGTGTTGGTGAGTGTCTGGTACTGCCACCAGGGTGGCAGTGATAGGTGTTACTGGGCAAGCCTGCTCTGCTTGCAGCCTCACATACATCCAGGGAGATGAGACTTGGGGATTTAACAAGAACCAGAGTGCACCAGAAACCCTGGTTTGCTGCTGTGGCTACTTTTTCCATCTTTCTCTTTGAAATGCCAGCATGGCAGACTGGCATATCCACATATTTAGTTGTGCTTTGCCCCATCTTACAGATGGGAAGCTGAAGCAGGGTGATTTGTATAGATTGTCTGTAGCCTGTGCAAAAAGTTCACAGCAAGTATTACAATCTGTGTCCTCGTCTGTGTTCCTGATACATCCCTCTGGTGTCCCCAGCCTACCAAGGGGGCTGTCATATGGCCTCCCCTTCTGCTCAGGCCTTAGCCATCTGTGGAACAGACCCATGTTCTGTCTGGCTTCCTGGGCATTAGCTGTGTGAGATGTGCTCTGACCTGCCCGTGGGACAAGATGATGCATCTATAGCGAGCACATCCATAGTCACTGAGGAGCTGTGCTGGAGCACTGATGGGGCACTGTCCTTTCCCCAGGGTACTGTGACGTAATTAGCCACAATATTTGCAGGAGACAGTAGTTCGGCAAGAATTTTGTTAGTAGTCAGCTTTGTTTGTTACCAATGCAAAGTCATTCAAGAGGGGAAAGCAACTGGAAGCAAGGTGGGACTGGAGGGAAGTGAGGTAGTTTGCCTGCCAGAGCCCAACTAATCTGTGCACTGCCTCTTTTCCTGGCAGGACCAGCAGCGGCTGATAGAAAAGGCCTGGAGGGTGTGGAGACGACGACATTTGCAAAGCTGCGTGGTGCAGAAGTTTTTGGAGGAGGAAGCCAGGAGCCTATTATCTCAGGTAAGCATTTATGACTGCTTTAATTCTTTGGACCTCAGTGAACCAAAAAGCACCCCAAAGGGACAACTGGTGTTCCCTGTATGTCTCTCTGCACAAAGCACTTGCTTAGGGAAAAGGGAATGGGACTTGCCCAGAACAAAGAGAAATAGCTTCCAGCTTTATATGGGTTCATCTTTGGGTGTTTTTCAAAGCTTTGTGTCAGCAGTTGATTTCCCTGATGTGTGCCCCCTTCCCCACTGTTATCTGAGATGTTAATCCACTAATCCCCTGCCTCTCAAGGGCCCACTCAGGGAAGAAACAGGCTCCACGTTGGTGCAGGAGGACGGCGCTGACTTACACCCAGGGGCAGGCAAATTGCTATAAATTTGAGTGAGCAGGCAAAGCCTTAGAGCTCAAACAGCCAGTTCGTTCCTCTGCCTGCCTCCCAAGGATCCATGCAGGATTAGGTCCTCCTTTAACAAGATGTGAGCAAGTACTGGAATTAGAGGGCAGAGGGGGCATTGGTCTTCCTTTTCTCACATTGATTTGTACTCTGCACTTCACTTACTGGCTACAGGAACATAGGGGAGGCAGGGAAGGGCTCTGAGTGAATGGTGAGGCAGTTGGCCTAGCTATTGCTAGAGGAAAAGCTTTGTTTACGGGTACTGTGAGGGTGGCTGCAACTCCTCAAGGGTAACCCGAGTATTTGACTTGTCCACTTTACTATTTAAGGCCTTTGGAAGGTGGCGCCAGCTAACAGCATTCCAGCTCAAGGACAAAGGCTGCTGAAAGGTGGGGGCCTGCCTGCAGCTGCTGCTCATTTCAGGACACATGGAGGATACAGCTGGCTGTCACAACAAAGAGCTGGTCCTGCGCAACCAAGAAAGTGAACACTCTGCTCATGCGATAAAAGCAGTGCTGCAGGCCAGAAGCATGATAGCCAAAGGACAACCAGGAAGAGATGGTACCTAGTGAAAGGTCCTCTTTAAAGGACTGATATCCTACCTCCCTAGAGGCACAAATTGAGGAGTTATTCCCTTTTGTTGTGAGGTTGCATCCCCTTCTCCTCTGGACTCTGATTTTGCTGGACTTCTGATTAAAGGTCAAAAAACCACCTTATAGGCTCTCCCTTTACTCTGTGTTTTTTCCTGGACTGGAGTTTAGTGTCACGCAGGGGAGTAAGCAAATACATCAGTCTTAAAGAGATGAGCAGGACTCTGCCTGTGCAAACGCTACATCCTGTTGATTCCAAAGTCTGGACTGTCCTTGGTAGCTGCAAACACAGGTCGTTATTTTTAGATTTGGCTTTTCCCCTGGGGGGGGATTCTCACATGGCTCCCACCTCCTCCCCCTGTGTAGGTCCATCAGCTCTTCATTAAGCCTTCCAGTGGGTGGCCAACCTCTTGACTGCTTCCTGCTGGTTCCTTTCTGTGCTGAATGGGCTAGGGATGAAGAAACCTGCTGGGAACAGCTGAGCACCAAAAGCTTTGCTGAGGCAAGACAGGCGTGTCTGACCCCCAACCTTCCCATTACTTGCTTCTGTGATTGATGCCCTGTAATTACCCTGGATATATGAGCCCAGCCTCAGACAGCTGTAATGAGAGGGTCTGAAGAATCTGGAAAAGGCTTTTCTTCCTTGCTTGTTTGAAAGAGATGCTCACAGCGTGGCAGGGATCTTGAAATCCCACTGGGATTTCCCCCAGGGTCTTCTTTTCCTAGCCTGTGGTAGCTTTGCAGGATTGTTAAGTACACAAAGCAGCCTCCATAGCTCCCCCAACCCCTTATTTCAATGCTGTGGGGCCTAAGGCTGTTAAGAGTCATTAGGTCAGGAAAGATAGGCTATCTTTCCCTACGGGCACTGGAAAAGGACCACCACAACTCCTGTGACCTTGCAGAACTGAGCCAAAGGTTGTAGCTGGTTGCTTTTGGGAAATTCTAGGATTTAAGCTTTCTTTGCCCTACCATGGAGCTTTGTCCATACTTTACTTAGGGCATGTGTTGAAAGTGAAGGCAGAACTGCCCCATAAACAATGGGTTTTCTTAAAACTTTCTCTTGTGCCAGGCTGATTAGTTTGCAAACAACATGAGTCTTTGCTACTTACCAAGAGTATGGCCTAGTACAGGAGACATTTGTATTTGTGTATTTTATTGTACTTAATCTAAGAAACAGTGTGATTCCTACTCAGTCTCATCCAGAAGTGAAATTCACATTTTCCTATTAAAAAGAAAATGGGAAATATAATAAAAGGAGAAAAGTTAGGGAGAAAATTTGAACCTTCTTCTGGAGTGAGTGCAAAAGAGAGCCTGATATGATCAGATATGAAGAAATACATCTTAGGAGTGCAACTTGAGCTTCTTTTCAGGGTTAGCAACTGCTGAAATGTCTCCTTGCTTAGGCACTGCTGACAGGAGTGTTTCTGCCCCCAAGGCAGCATTTCTGGCACGAGAAAGTTACCAGAATCCCACTGAGCTTTATCACCGTTGATGCACAAGAGTTCTCCTGTTACTGTAATCAACATAGCCACGATTAGCACCTCTTCATCCTGCAGAGCTGACCTTCAAGCTCAGGCTAGAGCCTCAGCTCAGAGGTTCAGGTAGTTCTGGCTGTTGTTCAGTGAGAAGGGGTGAGGGAGCCTTTGTGTTGGGGATAGAAGAGCATGTAGTGTGGGTAGATCGGAGAGCTAGCCTGGTCACTGGGTTTAGGAGTGTGTGGTCCACCATCAGCACAGGAGCTGCTTTTTCTCTCCCCGCAGTCAGTGGACGGAAGGAGGAAGTAAGGGATTATAAGAGGAGTTTTCACTGCTGAGTCGGAGAGTTCAACAGCTCAAAAGTATCATCCACAACCTGCCAGAGGCAGTTTTCAAGTGGGAAGTCATTGTCCACCAGGTTGACCAAGTAGTAGTTGTCATGGATGTATTGGATGATCATGCGAGAGGGTGACTCCTCTTCATAGAGCTTGGCCCATTGCTCGATCCACAGTGCAAAGGCCTCATCCTGCCAAGGGGGAAAAAAAAAGTGTAGTGGTGTAATGCACATGTTAGAGAGCTGCATTTTCATACTACCTCGTTTAGGACCACCGGTGTCACACATGCCTAGCCAGCCTGTGGCCTGTTTCTTCTCAGTAAAAATTGCAAGAGCTGAGCAAGGAGCCTCGTGCTTTCCAGTCAGTGGGAAGTGCCCTGTACACAACTGTTCAGAGCTGAATGGAGACACGTTTGCAGTAAAATGGCTCAATGCTGCCCCTGTGCGTGTAAGAGGGGAGGGAGAGCTGCTGCCCAGAGCTCTGGGGGCCAGTACAGTAACAGTGGTAGCTCCCAAGCCTCCTGTTACTGGGCACTTGGTGTCTGTGAAGAGCTCTTGCCGGAGCAAAGTTCTCCTTACACGGAGAGAGCAGGAGGAGCAGTATCTGGACCTCTGCAAGCTAATATCACAACAGTACTCAATTGCGAGAAGTGTCACAGACTAAAAACAAAGCAGACACTCCGAACTTCCAGGGCACCACAGCAATGTATCCAGCAGGAGGGAGGACTCACCTTCCAGGAGAGGAAGCTTACAGGATCCACTACAGTGGGCTGGATGATCTCTCTGCCCGGGAAGATGCCCCAGGTGACAGCATTGGGTTGCAGATCTGGAGCATTGGTGATATTCTGGCCCTGCCAAAGGAAGCAAAACCTTTCTGAAGCAACTGCTGGAGGAGGGATTGAGTGAGTTGGAACAAGTGCGTTTACCCTCTCCTTGTTAAGAGATCAGACAGTTGCTGCACATCACAGCTGACTTGCTTCACTTTCCCTTCTCTTCATCACCCTTCGTGTCCCACTTTGTTCATAGTGACATCTGAATCTTTGATATTTGCCTCTCTCCCAAGGTGGTGAAAGGAAAAATGTCCTGTAAACAACAGCCTACCTTGACATTGACAATGTGGTAGTTCACTCGCAACTCGTACTTCTTCAGCACTTTGAGCAGTGCCGTGACGATCTCACTGGAGGTGAAGAACTCTAGGTATGCCTACAGGGAGGGATGGGGAAGGGGAAAGAGAATGAGAGCCTTAACTCATGGCAGGGCTGGGACAAATACAGGCAACCAAGAAGACAGTTGTAGAGTCTGGGCTGCTTGGAAACCAGGCAGTCTAAGACTTGTATGTCCATTCCCAGAAACATGTACTACAGAGGAGGCTTGAGCAAAGGGCAGAGCAAATTAGTAAGAGAGCTGGGGGGGGCGGAAATAATTGGTGACAGCAGAGGTGTAACAGGCCAGGAGCAGCCAGCTCAGGAAAGCTACAAGCTTCCCGTTTTGCACCCATGTAAGCAGACAGGCTGGAATAAGCTCCGGACAGTGTTAACCACAACTGCTGTGCCTAGGAAGCAGTCTGTGCCAGACAGAGCAGAGTGCTTGGAAGAGGCCTGAGCTTGACCTCTATTCTACATGGTAGCCTATGAACAGCAGTGTTCTGCCAAGGCAGCCTAGTCTGGTGGGAGCAAAGTCAGGGGTCTCAGCTGGGCTCTCTCAAGCACCCTACCATTCCCTGTCCTCATCTTTTGTTCAGGTCTCCCTGTGTGCTTATACAACCTAACTGTACTTGCTCCATCTACTGCTGCTCTGTGCTTGGCTGCTCCCAACAACTGCTTCCCCTTCCCCCATTTCCTGGCTATTGTGTCAGATGATGGATTTCCCCTCACCTCGGGGGATTTTTTTCCCTTTGAAAACATAACTGCATTTGCCATCTGCTGGTCTCATGGCTTTAGCGGTTTGGATCCCTTTTGAACAGGGCTGCTTTGTTTCCCACTATGAGCCACTTGCTTGGCATTTACCTTGATGGGAGATTCCTATCACAGCCATTAGTGGCAAGGCTCTAGGGCCTGAAAATGCATGACGGTAGGAGGCAGGCATGGCAGATAAGCCTGCTTGCAGGCCAGAGAAGGAACCTGGCAGCTGTCTGAACAGCACAGCAGTAGTGCTGTGGGGTGGGGGCAATTGGTGGAGAACTCTGCCTTAGAGAAGGACAGATAGAGGAATTTTTAAATGCCCAGTTATTACCGTGAGAAGCTGGGTGGTAGAGATTCTACCTCATTGATTCCCATTTTATGAAAAACCTAGGCGCTTCCTGCATTGCTGAATGGGGATCCGATGCAGTGGGCAGGCACGTGTTTGCACCTAAAACTTCATAGCCCTGCTCTATAAAGAAGTTACCAATAATTACTTGCTGAGAGTAAAACAAGCAGCTCTATAGATGTTCAGTAGATGTTTTGAGGTGGGGGAAAACAGCTATGAAGTAAGCCACAGAGATGACATACTCTGTCTCTTAAGACACCAAAGGAGCTTTGCCTCATCTCAGCAAGAAGGCATTAAGATAAGGAGCAGGCAGAAGGATTATCCGGGTGAAAGCCTAGGACCTTCCTACCTAACAGAGACCAAACTGGGTCATAATTCTTTGCTGCCTAGCCCAGAGCAGTGCAGTACCTTTTGGAAAACATAACCCCCACTGGGCCCCCAGCCTACAATGGGGTCTGTGGACGGTTTGCCATTGATGTTTGGCTGGGAGTTGATGGTCAGGATTCCTCGTCTGTTAACCTTCTCCAGCTGCTCCTTCAGAAGGTTGGTTTCAGTAGCAAGAGGGTCATCGTTCCAAGGCATACACGTAACCTACCGTGAGGAGAAAGGATGGCTCACAATGGATGTAACAACCCTTTGGTTACCATCTGGATGTTGAAGGAACTCAGAAGTGCCCCAATGGTCTCAAACACACCTGCTTCAGGAGAGAATTCCCAGGTTTGGTTCAAGGGGCAGGATATCCTCAACTCTAAGAATGACTGCTGAAGTCTGTTGGTACTGGTCCTGTCATACTGTAGCAGCTTTCCTTTTATGTTGAGCCCTAGCTCTGGCTGCTGGATTCCCTTCAGCCACTGTCTCAGCAAGTCCTTTTGGATAGGGAAGTACCAATTCTTGTTTAGAAGAACAATGTGGTACCAGGAGCAAGAGGAAATACGTGCTACTGTCTGTGCTACACTGACCATCCCTTCCTGGGCCATCACTCACCTTGTGCCCGTTCTTGTTGGGTTCTCCAGTGATGTAACAGGTGAACACCTCAAAGACGCTCTCCTCACCAGTCAGCTCTTCTCCCCACATTTTCAGGAGCTCCTCCCGGGGAGACTTGCTCTTCAGGTAGAAGAGGTAATAGTCCTTCAGTTCCCCAAAGGCTGGAGAGGAGGAGTTACCCCTGTAAGGGGAGCAGACACAGGATTAACAGGCCACTGAGGAAGATGAGCTGATTTGGTGATGCAGGAAGACAGCCATCCAGGAAGAGAAGTATCCAACAAAATCCACCTAGAGACCAAAAGCCTTAACATCTTGGTGCCATTCTCTTCACCTCATTCAAATCCAAGCAACTGGGGACCACTTTGTTAAGAAGTCACCTGTTCTGTCAAGCCCAAAGTGTGCCCAGGACACCCACTAACGACAGAGACCAACTGTGGAGCAGGCTTTCATACCACACCTCTACCCCACTGCCACTGCAGGCTGACAGCTTACCATCGGCCATTGGGGAAATCGTCCCATTCTTGAGTTCGATAGATGTAACTCTTTGGCCTAGAGGCCCAGAAGATTGGCCGAACATCTTCAACTCTTCTCTTGGGGTGAGCGCTGACTGCCCAGGGCAGAGGCCGCCTGCATGGGAGGAGCAGATGTTAACACAGTTCCTCTGCTGACTTTCCACTAGAGGCTGGAAGCCCTTCCCCTGGAGAATTTTGCCTCTGGGGATAGCAAGTAACAGGGGCTGAGAAGAGTTCTATTTGTCAAGACGTAGGACAGAAAACTATTCTTCCTTTATGGAAAATCTTTTCCCGCTCAGTTCCGTCACAGGATGCTCAGTAGGTGTCTATTAAATGGTTAAGTACAGGACTGACACCTGAAATTGGATGAGGTAAGGGAAAAGCACTGTGTGAAGCTATTTTTAACAAGAAGAAAAAACAGCTATCCATTTTCCTTTGCTTTCTCTTGTCTGTGCTGAAGCCTGTGGACTCGGAGAGAAGTCCCACATTCCCTTTATCAGCTGCAGAAGAACCCCAGAAATCCACAGCGGGAGCCTACATAGCACCTAGCCTGTAAGAGGGGTTGTGACCGACCTCAAAAAACATGTTTCTTCCAAGTGGCAGCTCTAAGAGTTTAGGTTTTTAAAGTTCCAGGATAGGCTACTTTAAAGCCACTTGACTAAAACAAATTCCTCCTTCAGCTGTCCCCTCTATTCCTCCCAGCTTTTGTCAGAGACCTGCAGGAAGGGTGAACTTCTAAATGCAGAAAGGTGCTTAAAAAAAAAAAAAGCAGCAGAGGAGAAGTGCCAACCCATCCATTGCTTGAACCTTCAGTAGATGGGATGGATGTATGTGAAAGAGGAACTAACAGAAGCCAGCATATTCTGCTCACCTGGGGTCCTCCTTCCATATGCCCAGGCGCTTAAGGACTTCGGTAGTAGCCACTTCCCGATTGAGGGTGTAAAAATGGAGCCCGTGCACCATGCCACTATCCAACAGCTCCCGGCACATGGACACTGCCAGCTCCACCCCATAGTTCCGGATAGCTGCATCATTGTCCTTGATGGGTTCAATCACATCTTTGATTTCTTGAGGCACTTCCAACTTGGAGAGCTTCACCAGCTGGCGCAGGGAGTGGTAACCCTGGATGAGGATGCAGGGGATTTTCATTTTTCCAAGGCCCTTTTCTGACATCCCAGTAACACAGGTACTTGATCTCGGTTTTGTGGCAGGAGATTTAGAATTGGGGCTCCTGGATGCTACTCCTAGGCCCCATCTCTAGGATGGTAACGCAGTCATGGTCACGTCACTGCAGGTGATTTCTTCCCATTTCTTTACTCGTTGCCTGAGCCCAGCATGCTGACAGTGATGAGTAACGCCTTAGGACTGGTAGACCATTGTCCTTTATATCCCTTTTTGCCATATGGGCACAGAAAACCTTTTAAGCTTATTGTTACATGCCTAAGAGTTTAATTTGACAAACCACCTACAGATTTATGTTTAGCACCCTCACTTCCCACAAATTTTATCGAGGATATTTACAGACTTCTCTCAGGCCCTGACCCACAAACACCTAATATCCTGGATCCTTATTCCCTCCCCAAACCAGAATTACTGGATTTCACCTGTATGGGGAAGATGCCAGGAATAATGGGGCAGGTGATGCCAATGGCTTGACAGTCCTTCATGAACTTGAGAAAGGTTTCTGATCGGAAGAAAAGCTGTGTGATGATGAAGTCTGCCCCAGCAAAGACCTTCTCCTTCAGGTGCCTCAGGTCTGCCTCATAGCTCTCTGCTTCAGGATGACCTTTAGGGTAGCCTTTGGGGAGGAGGGAGGGGGGGAAAAAAGTGAAACCCTGGTGGTCGGGATAACACACTAGAAATTAGAAAGTAGCCAATCTGATCGTACTGTCACTTACAGCCCAGGTCCAGAGAGGGACTGCTGAGCTGACTTCCCTATCTCAGACCCTACCCCATACTCTGCAGTGAAAGACATTTACCTGCCACACAGATGTCAAAGTAATCATCAAATTCATTGCGAATGTGCTTAACCAGGTCAACAGCATAGTTGAAACCATCTACTTCTTCCTCCCATTCCTCACCAACAGGATCTGAAAAGAGAACAAATCCACAGCTTTCTCCAACTGTTTGCTGGACTCAGATCTGCTAGTTCTGTAAAAACCTCCTGCTATCAAAAGGAAGACAAAGATGAAATCCCCAAGTTTGCAGTTTTACCCATGGATTGCTTTTGTCTACCCTTGAGCTGGAGGGACTGCTAACAAGGGGATCAGGTGAAATGCAGTCTCAACATTTAATTCCTGTAGTGGAAGGAGTCTCTAAATCTTATTTCTCCACTTTTACCCTGGAATTGAATGCAATAGCAATACAGCCTCAGCCCTACGCATCATAGGACAAAAGGATTCACCTCCACGCAATGCCATGATGTTCTTCAACCCGAGCCGCTTGGCCTTCTGCAGATGCCCTGTGATTTCATCCTTGGTCTGATTGCAGCATGTCATGTGCAGGATGGTCTCCAGGCCACAGTAGTTGACTGCAGTGTTGGCAATAATCATGGAAGAGGTTTCCTTGTCAGATCCTGGGTCCCCTGCAGGGTGCCACGTCACATCAACGAAGAGTGGACCACCTGCTCCCATGCGGTCAAACCTGTGGATTTTAGACCTGCGTTAGCCTACCAGGTAGACAACTCTCCTCTCTATGCCTGGGATATCTTGCTCGCTGCTGGAATGCCAGCAACAGACAGAGAGAGCTTGGATGACAGCAGCAGGAGAGACCAAGAAAAGTGTTGAACTAGGAGTTTAGCAAGTGGCCAATGTAAATGAGGAAAGTCATCCTTTAAGGCTGTATGAGGAAGAGCTTACAGTCTCTTTGAAGAAGAGGCAACTTAAGTGTTCTCTGTAGAATAAACTTCCTCACAGCATGCTCTATTAGACTGATATGCCTTCTGATAGACAGCAATGCAAATCCCATTCCTTTTGAGATGGGAGACTATGCTGCAAACCCCTGTTCCCAGCTTTAACTGTAGAGGCCACAAATATGAAAAGATGGACCAGATCTCTGTTGTGTTCCCAAGTGTGCCTAACAGAAGAGACAAAGGCTCCCCTAAATTGTCTCTCTCCTGCTCTGGGTTGGAACAGGCCCTTCTGTTTAAAGTAAACCTGGTCCTGGCATATAGCAGTTACAAAAAGTTATGAAACTCCCTCTTCTCCTCCAGGTGAGTACATGGTGGCTCCTGTGGCTCCCCACTGGGCTCCAGGATAACCTTTAGCTCTGCTGAGAACTATCACCTTTCATTTAGCATGGAGATAGGGGACACCTCTCTCAGAGGCTAAAACTGTAGTCCTCAGTAATACAGAGGCACAAACCATAGTGGCTGGATGATTCTGAAAGCAAGTGGGAGTCTCTGTTCCAGAGACTTTGACACACTGCCCATCAAGTAATATTTTCTGCTTTTAATAGGTACTTTCCTGCTCTGTTGTCCCCCAGCACTCTGCTTCAGCCCCAGAGCATGACAGTGGGGTTGCTCCATCTTCACAGAGCATGGGAGAGGGGAAACAGTCTGGCCCCCTCAGTAACCCCACCATGGCACTTAACTCTTCAGGACCTCCAAGGAAGACAAGTTACCTGGTGTCCATTACCTTCCTCAGCAGGAAAGCACAGCCCCACTACCTGCTTCGTCACCTGGAAGGGGAGACAGAGCATGGGGCAGAGCCTGCCTCATTAGCTATTTCCCAGCCCTCCACCAAAGACACTTCATCTCTCCCCTCTCCCACCCTGCAGCCCTCACCTGGAGATGAGATTGACAGCAGCATTGGCTGTGCGTGGAGGGAAGAACTCCAAGGAGAACCACTTGTCTCCAGAGTCCTGCCGTCGGCGCATCTTCTCCCGCAGTCGCTCATGACGGTCAGCATCGAGGACAGGGGTAGAGCAGCGTGAACTGTCCTTGGAGCTCTCGCTCCCGCTACTGCTCCCACCATCAGACTTGGAGCTGGAACTGGCACTGCAAGTATGCTGGGTCTCATTGACCATGGTGAGCTCTCTGGAGGAGGGGAACAGAAGGAGCACAGTGGGTACAAGACAGGACACAGACCTCAGCAAAAAGCAGTTACAGCTGGGTGGTCAGCAGATGATGAAAAAGAAGCCTGTGCCAAGACCCAACATTAATCATCATCAAGCAGTTCCTCTTGCCAGCCCTTGCTATAAGCTGTAGTGGGGGATCTGGTGAAAACACAATAAAAAGCATGTGTTTAGATAGCGCTGAGAGAAATACACAGCAGATGGCTTCACGCCACTTTGATGCAGCTCTTCTGTGCCTGCTGGGTCAAACTTGGCTCTCTTCTGAGTCAGGTCAACATCACTTTTGCCCTGACTACAACTTAACAAGCCGTGATACCCACGTGCATCAGGTGAGGGCCTCTTTCATCTTGTGGCCTTGGGCTGGACATGCCAGCAGATTTTTTTTTTTTCTTTCTACAACAACTGCTTCTTGGACTGTATCCATTTTCAGAGTTTCCATTCTGTTTCTTCCCAAGCGGCAGCGCTTCTTTACAGTGTAGGTAGGAGAGCAAGTGCTAATAGGGCAGGTACACAAGAATGCACAAACTATTCCTATGTCAGAAAAAAGTGAGGAATCCCCTCTGATCAGGTGTCCTGGTTTCGGGTGGGATAGAGTTAATTTTCTTCCCAGTAGCTGGTACAGTGCTGTGTTTTGGATTTAGCATGAGAATAATGTTGATAACACACCGATGTTTTAGTTGTTGCTAAGCAGTGTTTATACTAGTCAAGGACCCTTTCAGCTTCCCATGCTCTGCCAGTGAGGAGGTGCACAAGAAGCTGGGAGGGGGCACAGCCAGGACAGCTGACCCAAACTGGCCAAAGGGATATTCCATACCATATGATGTCATGCTCAGTACATAAACTGGGGGGAGTTGGCCAGGGGGCAGCAATCGCTGCTGGGCATCAGTCTGTGGGTGGTGAGCGGTTGCATCACCTGTTGGTGTGTTGTTTCCCCCCCCCCCCCCCCCCCCCCGGGGTTTTGCTCCTCTCTCTGTCATTGTTTTACTTTCCATAACAATTTATTATTGTTATTATTTTATTTCAAGTATTAAACTGTTCTTATCTCAACCCATGAGTTTCCTTACTTTTGCTCTTCTGATTCTCTCTCCCATCCCACCGGGGGGTGTGGGGGGAGAGTAAGTGAGCGGCTGTGTGGTGCTTAGTTGCTGACTGGGGTTAAGGCTGGGGTTAAACCACGACATCAGGCCATCCCCACAAATACTGTCCTTTGTTCTGTCTTTGCTGGCATCAGACAGTTGCATTTCTAACCATTAGCCTTCTTCCACAAGACATACCATCTCCACAGACAACTGTCCCTGCACCAATACCACTGCACACACTCAGCTCTTTCCTTTACTAGATGTGCTGTTCATGTTCCTTTCCTCACCAATTGTGGCTGCGTGGAAATAAGGTCAGCAGAGACCATCCCCTTCTCCCTGCCTTGCAACAGGATCAGCTGTGCTTGCTTGGCTTCACAGAAAGGAAAACAGCACTGCAAGTCAGTGGTACAAGTGGGTCTAGGATGCCCAACTCCACTTAGCTCCCAGAAGTGTTTCACCCTATGCCTTTAAAATGAGGTAGTGATTACAAATAATTAGAGAAGAGCTACCATAACATTTGGATCTGCGTTATTTACTTATGCACCTGCCAAAACTTAAAATTTTCACTGGGAAGCAGCATGTTGTCTGAGCATTACGTAATACTGGAGCCTGTTTTGGAGGAAATGGTTGTGCGAGCTAGTGCACACTTTGTCCTTATCATAAGCTCTGTGGGTTTAGGTCATCCAAGAAGACTTTGAACTCATCTTCTACTGTTTACACTGAGCTGCCAATCAAGCAAAACCCTTTGGGGGAGAAAGTCTACTTTTACCACCTGGGGATGTCTCCAGCTGGCAGGAGATACAAGAAAGGAGCACAGGCCTTCTGCTGCCAAGAGGAACTGGGAGTCTTAGATCTCCTGTGTACCAACACAGCGGGTCATGGTAGAAATCAGCAGCAAAGACCTATTGACAAGTGAAGCAAAAGCAACCGCGTGCACAGTAACAGCCCTGACCAAGCTCTCTCAAAGGACTTTGCCTGACATCCACGTGGCACTAATCTGGGAGAATTATCCCAAAGCATATGTTGGTGATCAAGCTAGCGGTGCAAAATCACGTGTGGTCAACTCCCAATATCTTGCTTCTAGCAAGCATGCCACAGCACCGTAGGCAAATCAAAGGACCTCTGTTTTCCCACTTGAGATTTAACACCCGCCACAAGGGAAGGGTTCACGTGTTAATGTCTCTATAGGATGAGACTTGCTGTTAAGGAAAGGTCCTTATCTTACTGGCAATCTTGAACCACAAAGTCAGGAGAAAGGCCCTACTTAAACTTTGTCTACAAGCAGCATTTGGAACAGTTTCCTTACCGTCAGATGCATCACAGATCTGCTGGCAGAAGCTTGCAGTTATTACAAAGAGAAAAAAAGATTTTCTAAACAAAAACCCAGTTGCAAAATAAGACAATCTTAAACACCCATCAGCTCCGTTGGGTCAGCACTCCTGCTCCTCTGTCTCTACCACGCTGCAGAGCTCAGAGCAAAGATCTGTGGCCCAGCACGTTGATGCTGATCAGCGCGGATGTGCCCGTTGTGTTTATGCGACGCTGGTGGTGCCTATTCGCTTCGCTGTAGGGTATTTTTACTGCTTCCAGGCCTGAGCTGATACCCACACACGCAGAGGTCTGCGTCCTCCTAAGCTTAGTTTTACCACCCAAGCTAAACTCGGCTGCACAGACGTACACTTCACGCGGGGCACGCACGCCTGCAAGGGACTTGTCCAGGGCCTTGCTGTCCTGGGCCACGGCACCGGGCTGACAGCCCGACGGGGCAGACCAGGGGCCCGCGGCCGGATCTACTGCCTGGCCAGCGGAGCAGCTGATTGGGCAGGGGCACGG